AGCCCAGCCCCCTCCGCACACCGGTCACAGGCAAACAGAGGGATCTGTACATGCACGAATGAAGGCACCTCTGTTGGTGCCATGGCCGCCTGTCAGGTGCCCTCACCTATAAGGGCCATGCAGGTGGCGTCCTCCCCTGGGCAGCAGGCAGAAGACAGGTGAGACCTTGCCACCCGTACTGAGGTGCAGCTGGGAAAAGCTGTGGAGCTGGCGAGACAGGTGTGGCTGGTCACCTGCCTGACCTTCCCCGTGCGCTGCAGTCAGTCACTCACCGCCACCTCATCACACACTGACTGCTGAGTGGCACTTTGGCCCCAGTAAAAATGACTTCTGGCTAGGTGTCTGGGGTGGCATCACCATACTTTGGGCTGCCCAGGACTCTCCCAGAGCACAGGCCAGGGAACCCGGGGAGGTGTGTGGGAAACCCTCCCCATGCGGCCCACCTACGCGAGGGGTGAATGGTCCTGTGCTCACCACCTCTCCGCAGACTGCTGGCATGGCTCTTCTGGGGAGGCACCAGGAAACCAGCTGGCTGGAAGGTCCCTTCCGATCTGCCACCCTGCCAGGCTCGTGGTGGCCTCCTCAGCATCGCCCCCATTTTTCTCTCGTGACCCAATCACCTTGCCCTGGACCGACCAATCCCAGGCAGTTTTTGGTTTTCCTTTATTCATGATTCCACCCTGTGTGCTGGGCTCCAGCTAGACACTCAACAAGTGCTGGCTCAGGGAATGACCTCGATGGGCTCTGCTGGGCTCCCCTGATGGTGGAGTCAGGCCACAGACCCATTTTCCAAGGGCACAGGTGAGGCACAGATGAGGGGCGGTTTGGCCAAGGCCCCAGGTGAAGCCAGAAGGCAGCTGAGGATAGGGTCACGGGCCTCAGGAAATAACCATGAAGCCAACGCTCTCAGTAAACACAAGCTGGAGCCAGTTGCCTACAGGCCAGGCACCCCAGAGCTCCAGTCACAAAGCCGCCACCGCTGCCTGGCAGCATTTTACAGCATTTGACAGATCACCGCATAGTTTCCCAGCCTCAACCCTCTTCCTCTTCACAACCCAGAGGGAGGTGGAGCGGACCTTATTCCCCACATTTTACAGGCCCAGAGAGTTAGATGCTGTTCCCAGGACACACTACCACTGCAGGAAGGAACCAGGGTGACCTCAGATCACGTGATCCTGAATCCGTCAGTTTCCCACCCAGCTGGTCGAAGCTGACCAGCCAGGAGCATGCGGAGCATCTCACGGGTGCCCTTTCAGTTCTGGGGCAGAGTTAGCGGAGACGTCCCCCCACTGTCTGGGCCCATCTGGAGGCTGCCCCAGCTCAACCTCTCCTCCCGGGACCTGCTTACAGCTCGGGGGCCCCTTTGCAGACCCTGGCTCCAAGCCGGGCCTCCACAGCGCGTGCCGTGCCCAGGCAGGACGATTCCCGGGGTACAGATGTGGCTCTGGAGCCCACACACATACTGTGTGCGACAGGCGACTGTGCCCACTCTGTCCTTTCCACTCCAAAATGTCAGGTGAGGAGTGGGACCAGGAGGTCCCTCAGACACACATGCACCTGTTTCCGCAGGTGACACAGACTACACTTCATTCTCTGCAGAGGAACGTCTTGGCATGGAGATAAAAGTGCTGCTGGAATATGGCACATAAGGGCTGTAATTTACCAAGTTGGGACCAGAAGATGTGACAGCCTTTCAAGACTTTGTTCCACTTATTAGGAGAGAGGCCAAAGATGTCTTTTTTATGATCCGATGTTTCATTTTTACTGGTGATACCAGCTCACTGCTGACAGTGACTTGGCACACGGCAGCACTTGCCCAGGTGACTTTTAGAAGGACGTTCAGGGGGAGGGCCTGAAGTCACTTTTCCTGTTTTGTACTGACAAAACACATTTAGACAGACTAAATGTGGCAAAATAAACAACCCAAGTTCAGAGACTTCAATTTACCAAAGCTCTTCTTAAAAGCTGAGGAGACATGAAAGGCAAAAATTCTACTCAAATTCAAATAGTTTCCAAGGAAAATTCCTGTAGCCTTGAAGAATAATAAAGGCTCATGGATATATTTAGAATTTCTGAATGGTAGGACTGTTTCCCAAGAGCGTTTTAAATATCCCAAGTGAAAAATGAGAACAAGACCAAAATTGTTCGGTAAAGAGCAAAGGAACCCTTCGGTTTATGAAAAAGAGGGAGAGACTGTGAGTCAGAGATGCCACGGAGGCCGGGCCTGGGGTTCCACCCGGAGCACAAACTGTGGTGGTTTCTGCCAGGAAACTTTTTATTCAATTCCACATGCAAAGAATGTACGCTACAATCATCTGGTTTTTTTAAACTCTGCCTCATGCCATCTTGCATCCTGTGAGTATCCCCTTAGCTTTTTAGTCCAGCCCGTGGTGTCAGGGTCTGCAGCTCTGCTGGGTGGGCCTGCCAGGCTCACAGAGCCAAGCCCCTCTCGTGTCCCTGTAGGACCCCAGGAACCTGCAATTAGGAGCTCATCCCCAGACAGGTGAGCTCCCGGCCGTCATTATTTCCTAAGCCCTGCAACTCACAAAACTAGACATTACCACCCTGGGTGGGCCCTAGGTCCTATGAATATGGGGGACATGTGGTGGTACAAGATCCATGCTTGTCCTCAGGCAGCTTATACTCCAGTCCCATGAACAAAGTCATATGAAACCGAGAGGATGTGAGATTGCAGCCAATATCCTACAATGAATACATTTCAAGCGCTTTGAAAATGCTAAGAAGAGATAAACTGCCTCCACCTAGATGGTGGGGAACACCTCACTCAAGCAGTGGCAGGGCCCAGGAAATGCGAGGGGCAAATGGGAGACTGACAGAGAAGTAGGCGAAGGAAGGCCCGCCCAGGGTCTCACTGTATCCTGAGCCTTCAGGGAAGCCGCACACCCCCGGGGCTGCAGCAGAAGGGCAGAGAGGGGAGGTTGGGGCCAGCAGAAGGCGTGAATACTGCGAGCAGGACCGAGATGGGCCCCGGAGGGGAAAGGAGGCCAAGCCTCTGGAGCAGCACAATTCTGACGTGCTCAGGAGCCCACGGGTGGGCTCAGGGAACCGGGCAGCCTCTGAGACCGTGTATGTCCCTGCACCCCTGCGTGGCAGGCACGGGTGAGCACACCGAGCTTCCCCTGCCTCCGCAGAACGCCCCTGTTCTGGGGCCAAGTTCTGGGTCCAGGCTGGAGAAGAGTCCACCACCGCCCTCCTCGCCAGCTCCCCATCCGCAGCCCAGACACAGGGCACAAGAGCCACGTCCCCTGGACACGAATCAGCCAGAAAGAGAGAGACCTGGGGGCCCACCGGGGCTCCTCTGGGAGCTCCCTGGGTCATCAGGTTTCCCAACTACCCAGGGGTGTGATGTACGCCACATTTTAATGTCAAATGGATGGAGAATCGCTGAATAACTTCTGCTACAAGGTGCAGATTTTGAACTTTCCCCATTCGGTGGAATCATCTCAGTGGCCTAAAACCAAACAGCAAATCCCGCCCGTGGTTCCTGGGCTCCCCCCAGGCCCCACCCCAGACCTGCACACCCCATTCCACCTACCCTCCTCACGGCCACCCAGTCCCGGCCCAGAGAGCTCTGCTGGGCCTTTAGCACACCCTCCCCGGGAACGCATCCCCTATGCTACCCTTTAAACAGTCCCAGGCTTTCACGAGAAAAATAAAACACATGATCACAAAATCTGTACCACCCCGTCCAATTTGCGTTTCCTCCTGAGTGACTACCAACGCCCTACATGCCCCGCCACCCGCCGCTCCCCCCAAGTGCTTCTAATTTCAGAGTTAAGAGCATGGAACTTGACACTGGGTCTGTTTCCATTTACCAGGGAAGGCATGTTTCTCCACCATAAACAACTGAAGGGCGGCTTGGAAGCCTAGACTTGGGGAAGCGCGGCGGGCACCTCTCTGGAAACGTCCCCCAGGGCACCAAGGGGCAGGGAGCACTGAAGTCTACTGCACTCTGCCTTCTTTCAGATGAAATGACTTAATTTTTTTTTTTGAGAGGGCATCTCTCATATTTATTGATCAAATGGTTGTTAACAACAATAGAATTCTGTATAGGGGACTCAATGCACAATCATTAATCCACCCCAAGCCTAATTCTCAACAGTCTCCAATCTTCTGAAGCATAACGAACAAGTTCTTACATGGTGAACAAGTTCTTACATAGTGAATAAGTTGAAATGACTTAATTTTAAGGGTTTCAGTTCATCAAAGAACCCCAGCTAATTTTCCACCGAAAATGAGCATATTTTGTTTTTCTTCATTCTTCAAAGACTACTTGGGCCATGAAAAGAATTTATACTGAATTTCCTTAAAAGACTCCATTGGGTGATGCCTCCAGTGCCTTAGGAAGGGACACAGAATGGAGAGAAAGGCAAGTGTGACGGGCTCTAAGCTCTTTGGGACTTAGAAATTAGAGATTACTTTAGCCCCCGTGATATTCATAAACAAAAAGATAAACTAGAAGAAACTCCAACGGGCTGTCATCCATTTCTACAAATTTATAGATTTGTGGAATGAGCCGCTATTTCTACAGATGGAAAAGTAAAGTCTTTAACCGAGAAACTGACATTTTCATACCTACACAGATGTCCTCTGCCCAAACCATAGGTCAGTTCCTTTTATTGCCACATCCATAATCAACTTATCAATGTCTCCCTTTAATCATCATCTTATAAAAGTCAGAAAACATATTCAGTGCAGTCTTAAAACAGTGACGCGGGACTCCCGCCTCCTCACAGTCCCGTCGCCCGCCTCTCACCCGCCCACCCCCCACCACCCTTCCTCCCGGCTGACGGGGCGTCTCCCAGGACACAGGCCCAGGGGTCTGACCTGTTTTTCTTTCCCTTCTGAGCAGCTGCCCCCACCAAAGGGCAGTCTCCTTCCCCCATGCCCAGCTCCTGCCAGCTGCCCCAACTCCTCCCACAACTTCCACCTCGAAACCAGCAGATTGGCGATCAGTTCCCCTTTAATGAAGCACTTACTGCCCGTCCTGCATGGAAAGTGATGGTGGACGCCAAACAGCAGGGACGAAGGGCCAGTCAAAGCTTAGGAAAGCGCCTCAGCCCTCCAGAGCTTGGCCCTGACTGCAGCCCGAGTTTTCCGCTCGTCCATGGCTTCAAGGAGCTTCTTTCAGCTGGTGTGGGATGTTGGGCAAACCTGTGGAGGTTAGAGGCCAAGTTAAATATGATCTGGCTTCCCTACTGGAAAAACTGATGAGCAGGATTCTTGGCTGTTCCGTAGGGCGCACGTACCCAGGACGCCAGGATGCCCAGAGCAGGAGCGGCCCAGCAATGGCGGCTCTCTTCCGGGGGGAGCCCTGACCTGCCCCATGGCTTCAGCCAGGTGCTAGAAGTAGCCGTTCGCAGCTCTTGGGATTTGGCGTCTGCGATGGGCTTCCTCGCCATCCCGGTCCCGCCTCTCCTGTATTCTGGGTGCTCGGAGACGCAGCAGCAGCCCGGGAGAGGCTGGGTGCCCCTGGCTGGAAAGCCTGGCTCTTCTGCCTCCTGTCCGAAGGAAGAGCCTCCTAAGAGGCATCGGCCTCCTCGCACCCCCTGCCCTGCAGGGCGTGCTGCCTGAGGTCATTAGCGACTCAACATTCACCCCATCAGGGCACACAGTTAGGGGCTGTCCGGCCGGTGGGTTTCAGCCCTGGGCAAGTTCACTGTGAATTCAATGTGACCAAAGAAACGACAGTAGAACGTTCTTAGGGTGAAAGGGTTTATACCCAACTTTATCCCCACAGTGGCAGGTCAGTCACCAGAATCCCGTCCACTCAGAGCGAGTCTGCAGGCAGCAAGCCAGTCTCTGCCTCTGGGCCTCTCTGCCCGCACGGCCATCCTCTGGGCCTCTGTCCTCAACACTGCCACCACTCCAGGCTCTGCTCTCCTGCAGCCTTGCAGCCCTGCCAGCGTGTTGGCCAGAGCACTGGTTAGAGCTCTTTATAGAGAGTCAATAGCAACAGATTGCCCACACCTGTGTAGTGAGCCAGCCAACCAGGGCCAGGTGAGAACCCTGGCCACGGGGACTTTCATTTTATCCACAGCAGCTAACCACCTGCCTGTAATAAATTTGAGACTTTGGTCTCATTGCAGGAAAGGGCATCCACGGGACGCAGATGCATCAGTTTACTCCAGTCCCCGGGAAGGCAGGTGTGCCCCCTTCCTGCTGAGCCCTCATCAGACCTGAATCCGGGCTGTCCGGCTCTCACAGGCATGAAGGGCGGAGGAAAAGACTGAGGAGCAGTGTCCTTCGAGCCCGTGCCCTCCACTGGGGCCGTCTGTGGGGTGCTCGGAGGAAGTTAAAGCTGAGTGTGTGCGGGGAGTGTCTCGGTGCGGGGGATGGCTGGGCGGTGGGAGTTCGCCGAGATTTCCTGAGCGGCCCCCTCAGACCCAGGTCTTGCCAGCCCGGGTGTGCTCTGCTGTGGCTCACACGGTGCACCTTCTGCCAGTGATATGAGCCACCTGAGCGCATGGAGGGAGGCTGCCAGGGAAGGAGGGCATTTCTAACCCGACGGTGGAAGCACGGGTCCAGACGCGCTGGGCATGCCGTTTGGAGAGGAAACAGAAACGACCTTTCTTTTCCATCCCTGACCTGCCCAGAGTCGCAGAGCTGAAACACAGCAGAGCTGCCCGGTGGAAATGAAGTCACAGTAAGAAGAATCGTAGATTAAGTGATGTGAATCACGCGTGGGTCTCTCGCTGCCCGGCAGTAAGCCTGGTGGTGTGGATGGATTATCGAGCACCCAAGAGAGTGACTCAGTGTCACTGGGCTGACCACCTAGGTGACATGGTGCTGCTCAAAGTTTGGCAACACGTTGCAGAACAGCGCCTGAACTGTCAGCTATGAGCCCACCTGTTCGCCTCACTCATATCATAAATCAGCTGGAAGTAAGTTAAAGGTAACAGGGTTACATTAAAATCAATGTAAACTGGCACCTAGAATTGAGATGTTTTGGATTCAGTCTATCTCTGAGTTCCTGAGGAGAGTTCTTGCTTCTAAATAACAATAGTCTCTTGACCACACCTGCTTATAGCCCCCCATCCCCCACATACACACACACCTGTGGGACAGCCTCTGGGCTGCGGGCAAGCAGCCTGTGTTTGGACAAGCACCCAGGTGACGCGCCCTCTGAGGTCAGCGCACGGCCACGAGGCAAGCAGGCGGGGAAACCGAACAGCCTGCAGGCGGCCCTGCTGACACGCTCGGTCCGAGAACCGGCTCTGCTGGCACGTCGTTTGCTATTGTGTCACTCTGTGTGGACGGGACGAGGCGGGGAGAGAGAGGGCTCGGAGCCGCACAGACCGGGTCCTGTGCCAGGGCTGCCCCTTACCTGCTACACGACCCGAGACAGGTCGCTCCAAGGACTACAGCCGTAATGCCCTCCGCAGGCCCACCGGGAGGACCCAGCGGCCCCGCGCACGCAGGGCGCTCAGCACACATGCGGCCCCCGCCCAGGACGGGCCCTCCTCCCGGGCCCCCGCCGTCCCGAGGCTGTTACTGTTGATCATCGCACCAGCAGCAGCCTCGCCCCTTCTGCCCGCAGCCTCCTGGCCTCAGGCTTAAGGTCGCCACTTGGCGTGTCCTCAAAGGACTGAGCACCAAGGAAGGAAAGGGCAGGACTCCCCAGAGGGCGTGGCTGCCTAAGGGCGGGCTGGGTCCCCTGAGGCTGCGTGGCGTGGCGTGAGCCACACTCTGCAGCAGAAGGACAAACCGGAGGAACAAGCCCTTCCGCAGCGTCCATCCCCGCCTCTGGCTGGGGTGTGGCAGGAGCGGCCCAGGGCAGCCCGCGCAGGAGCCACCCACAGCCTCTGTCCACCGCTAGCCACAGGTGCATCCGGCCAGCCCGGATTTTACCTCCTGGGTGGCACAGGGCACCTGTCTGTCCAGGTTTAGGCCCCTGAGATGGGTCATGTGGGCACTGTGCATCTGCCTGGGATGACTCAGGGCCTGCTGGCCAGAGTTGCCCTCGGTTCCCCTCCCAATACTGAAAGGAGGTCAGATGCCTTTGGATTTAGCAAGGGCGCTCTTGAGGCCGCCTTCAGTCAGCAGTGCGGTGGGAGTCCTCCTTCAGGAAGCAGTGAGCCACACCCTCCGCCTCCCAGGCAGGACAGGTCTCCTGGGCCTGCTTGGTGGGCCCTCCCGGCTTCCCTTCCCACCGCACAGGCCCAAACAGCGGCAGGGGGCAGGTGTGGGAGGCCAGGGAAGGGCGAGGAGCCGCGGTGCTGGGGTGCCTGGTATGCCTGCTGGGAACGACACAGCACCAGGCCCTGCTGGAAGGCTCCAGGCCCGCCCCGCCCTCCCCCACCAGCCCGCAGAGGCCTGACGTCCCAGCGCCCCACAGCCGACATGCACACTCACGCACACTCACTCACACACACTCACGCACCGTCGCACCGCGATTCCAACGGACCAGCAGGAAAGTAGTGTGAGCCTTATCTGCAGCTCAGGACAGGTAGGGGACACATCTGGGTTCCATGCTGCATTGGGGCTCGATCCCAGGAGGCCTGATTCCAAAACCCAGCCGTTTTCTACTAAAGCACCGCTTTTTAAACATTTTTTTTAATTCCAAATATCTAAAAAGAATATGAAACCCTATGTGCCTCTTTGTACGATCTTTGCTACTTCCTGTGAATCTGTAATTATTTACAAGTAAAAAGCTTTTTTAAAAAAACCCTGCATGGGCCCAATATATAAACCGTCAATGGGGCACTTTAGAAGTCAGGAGACAGGCCCCCCTTGGGGGGCAGCGCTGACGAGGAGCTTGGAACCCCCGGGGGGCTGGACACGCTCTGTGTCTGCACCGGTTCCACACACTCTTGTGCGTGCAGGCTACAAACACTCAATGAGCTTTGCATTTATGATCAGTGCCTTTTTCCAGATGAGTGTTAAACTTTAAAAGTTAAAATACCGGAGTGGAGGACCCTGCGGACAGGAAGAGGGGCTGGGATTCGCTCGGCTTCTTCCACCATCCCCCCGGGCCCAAAGCCCTGAGGATGGCAGGGTTCGGAGGGGCCCTGTGTGGGCCATGGGTCCGGCTTCCTCCTCCCAGAGCCCGAGTGGCCGGGCCAGCGGCTCAGTGGCCCAGGACCACACCGATTATCCCACCCAGGGACGCACTGATTATCCCACTCTCATTTCCCATCACCTGCTTACAAATCGCAGCCCTTGGGTCAAAACCAGCAGTGGAATGTGTGCAAAGCAGGGCTTCGTGCTGGGCGGGCGGGGTGCTCTGAGGGTGCTGAGGGGCCAGGAGGCAGCAGTAGAGGCAGCAGAGCCCACCTGAGCAGGGCAGCCTGACCCAGGCTATCAGGGTGTAAGCTTGGAGCGGAGGAGTCCCAAAGAAAACTGGGTCAAAAACAAAAAGAAGGAAGACAGGCTGTTATGACTTGAGAGGAATTGGTTCACAGTCATAATCACAAGGAGCTGGAAAATAGTGGCCACTCAGTGTACAGGCAGCCCTCAGGCATCGTGGGCTGGGTTCCAGACGCCTGCCGAGGAGCGAATACTGCAATGGAGGGAGTCAAATGAATGGTTTGGTTTCCCAGTGCGTATCAAAGCTATGTTCACGCTGCGTGGAAGTCTATTAAGTGTGTGCAATAGCATTATGTCCAAAAACACAACATATATGCCTTCATTAAAAAAATACTTTATTGCTAGAAAATGTAGCCATCATCAGAGCTTGCTGCGAGTCACAGTCACAGGTCACACGTCACTGTAGCAAATGGAATGATGAGAACGTGTGAGACCGTGTGAGAATTACCAAAATGTGATACAGACACACAAAGTGAGCAGCCGCTTTTGGAAAAATGGAGCCAACAGATTTGCTCAACACAGGGTGGACACAAACCTTCGATTCCTAAAAATGAGAGTATCAGCAAAGCGCAGTGAAGCGCCGCGTGTGAAATGAGGCCTGCCTGTGTTCTCCAAGTGCTAGGCGGCCGATGGGCACGCCCGAAAGCCTCCCTCGCACTCAGCGGGCTGTGAGTCTCCCTTCCCCGTGACTCGGCTTTCAGGAAGGTTCCTGGGGGACCGCACACTTGCGATGAGCGTGCCTTTGCCAGGCTGTTTTTCCCCCTCGCTTGCAGGATGCAGTTGACGTTTTTTGCTATAATGCACCAAGTTAGTTTCTGCCGTTACCTGCCCAAGACTGTGCCTGGAATCAGCAGTAGCTGCCAGCACGCAGCTGAGGGCAGGAGTTAGCCCAGTGTGAGGTTAATTGGACCAAAGTGAAGCCATTCGGGTTTGACAGATCCTCTCAGACATCCAAGGAGGGACGCTTAAGCAGGCTCCCCCAAGACACAGGACGGTCTGGAAGAGTGCTGGCTCCGACCACGTCCAGCAGCAGGTCCCTGCTCTGCGTGTCTGATGGCCTCTCTCCGGGCTGCTGCTGAGTGAAGCCATGAGAGAAAGGAGAACCTTCTACGAGCTCCTATTTCCAGAAGGGCTGTTCCCTGGGGAGTTTAGAAACGTTGACAACTGTGAATGAGACTCACGACCCAGCGGAGGGGCGGCGAGGGGAGGAAGACGGCGTGCAGGCACTGGGGTCTCCCGCGTGAGGACCTGGCTTTTCTGCGAGGTTCTTTCAAGGTCAGAAACACCCTGCTTAACCTCAAGAAGAGCAGTTCTGTTTGGATTTTCAGGCCGAGTGTGGACTCCTTTTTGACCCCCCAGTTGCTGGAACAGCTGTGTGCTCTGGGCTCCCGCTCAGGACACGCCCCCGCTTGGGACCCTTGCTCCGCAGAAGGGCAGGGCGGCTGAAGCCAGACCACTCACGCTGACCGCCGACCCCGCCCCACGGCACCCACTGAAGCCTTCGTCTCGCCAAGGGACATACCAGCCTGGCCCCTCTGCACCCTCGGGACCCGGCGCTTGCTGGGTGCAGTGCGGGAGGCCCATTCCAACCCTTCTGGACTAGAGGCGGGCCCGCTAGGTGCCCGGGAGCTGAGGCAGGCGGAGAGCATGGACGTGTGTGGGGCAGAGGGGACCTACCTGGGCGTGGGGAAGGCCCTGGGGAGGAGCGCTGGGGCGATGGCCCGGAGGAGGGGCTCTTCAGTACAGAACTCCCCGCCAGGGCTTCCGCGTGGCCCAGTCCCGACCCAAACAGAGCACATACCAGGAGCTCGTTCAATGCCTACAACGGCCTGGTGGGGCACTGTCACCATCACCCGCATTTCACAGACGTGGCAAGAGGCCCAGGGACACACAGTCACTTGCCTAGAGTCACACAGCTATAAACACAGGGCTGGCACCTAGACCCAGCTTTCACACTAGCCCAGGGTTTCTCTGCCCAGGCGCTGTGGGCATTTGGGGCTGGGTAATTCTTTGTGGTGGGGGTGGTCCTGCACACTTGAGGGTATTAGGTGGCATCCCTGGCCTCCACCCGCCAGATTGCCAGTGGCACCACCCGCTCCAATCATGACGACCAGATATCTCCAGATGCCAGAAGTTTCTCAGACGGCAAAACTGCCCCCCGACTGAGGACCACGGAACCAGAGTTGCCCTGGGTGGGGGCGTCTGCTTCCCACAGCTGCTCAACTGCTTCAGCTCAGAAGCGGGGCCGCAGAGAACCTCCCAGGGGGCGGCGCTGTGATGCCCGTCCTGACGGAACAGCGTGATCGCTCTGGTCCTTGCGTGTGCGGGAGACATCCGGTCTTGGAGGTTGTTTGATTTGTACTGTTTCTAGTCTTTCTGAAGGCAGAAGCGGGCGGCAGCTTACAGACAGCCTGCGGGCTGTCCTCAGGGCACAGCGGGCTTCGGGAGCTCCTCCAGCACCTTCTCACCTTCTCCCCGCCCGGGGCTCCAGTTCCAGCTCGGGGCTCCAGTTCCAGCCCACGGGGTTGCTGGGTCCTCTCCAGACTGAGGACCACTCTTGAATTCAGTGTTTATCATCCCCCTAGGGCTCTGAGGGCCAGGGAGTCTAAACTCCATCTGGAGTGTGTGACCCCAGGCAGGGGCGGACTTCTAAGGCTCTGCCGGTCTCACACCATGAGTGCCTTGCCCTTAGCATCAATATTTAACACTAGCATGCGAGCAGGCAAGGGCGGGGCAGAAGGTGCCACCTAAGGTTGATTGCTGCATGGTTAGTGTGAGGCAGAGGGGGGACGCGGCTGAGCAGGGCTCGGAGTCCAGCAGACCCTTAACACAAGCTCCAGCATTTAAAGGGAGGGGGCCTTAAACAAGGCCTGTGAGCCCATTGTCTCATCTGCAAAATGGGCATCCTAGCTGAAGCCACCCACCGGAGCCAGCTGCTAAGCCCCTGTCTCCCCGAGCCCAAGCTCCCCGAGGCCAGGGCGCATATTCCTGGGGAGGAGGGGCCCCTCGTGGGAGCTGGGCTCTGGGGAGCGGCTGCCACCCAGACGTGTGGCCTGATGCGGGCCAGGGCCCCAGCCTGGAGTGAGCTGCTGGGGAGGCTGCCCCTGAATCCCCAGAGTCCTGACCGCCTGTCTCACCTGATGAATCCCACCTGGGCGTGTGTGTTGTCAGGAGCTGCAGGGTT